ATCGGACGCTTTGAGACGAAATTTAGTTTGTGTTGGCAAAATATGTGCGAGAGTATTGGCCGTTATCGAAACGACAGAATTTTGGTAAATTATTTGTTGTCGCTGATGAATAGCGCGCGATCGGGAGATGATCCAAGGCAATGCGGACGCCGCAGTTTTCTTCAGGGAATGGATGTGTGCGTCTCCGAACGACTGTAGCAGCACGCCTCATTCCATCCATCGCGTAGATAGTGCGGCCAAATAGGTGCAAGCTCGGTTGCGTAGTATCGATAGGTAGTATTGTTGAGTTTTTCTGGACAAGAAGCTTCCCACGATTAAGTCTATCTAAGGCCGCACTGACATCGTCTATCGATATGGAAGACGTAACGTTTAACTCATCAGCTAGGTTCGGCCAGGATGCTCGGGCCAGGAACGCGACGGATATCTCGTACCAGTCGAAAGAGGTATTCATAATTTGTTCCTAGCCATCTGATGTGTCATTCGCAAGTTCGTGTGACTGATTCGACCTGCACGTAGCTTTGCCACCCAGGCACACGATACTTTTTTCCTGATATTTAGTCGCCATCCGGGCGTAGATTCTTCGCGATGTCTGGACCGGACGGCAAGTGCGCTGCACCAAATGTCGCTCCTTCTTGGTCGTCTGCCATCAGTGTTTTTATATAACATCATTTGACTGAGCTCATCCACATTATTGATGGGCCAGGGTGATCCCATTCCCTTTGGGCAGTCACCGAGATTAATCAGACGAACGCGCCCCCAAAAGCGCTACACTCGGCCGAACATATAAGCGACGTAAGCTCATTCGATAGATTTCCGTCAAACCTTGACTCTCTTGTATGGTGGTATTCAATAGAGTTTAACGAAGTTTGGCCTTCCATGTATCCCTCCATTCGACAAGCCTGCAGGCCGTTAAAGGGTCAGAAGTTGAAACCTATAAAATTGCATACACTTGACGCTAAGCAATGGAAATCGTGGCAGCATATGTACTGATCGAGGAACCTTGGGGGCACCCTGGAATTGGATTTACGCGCCGTGGCTTGCGAATGCGCACAACGTGACGCGGCACCCCAATCCTGACACATGTGCCATTGTGATCAGCCGCGGAATCAGGTTGTGGTGCCTGGGATGTAATGCCTTGATGGAAAATACAAAAGTGATTGCAGTAGGTCCTTAGTTCACACACAAGCTGCTACTCTAAGCCTTCTGGATTCCATGGATAATTCTTTCTCGATTTCAACTGGGACTAAACTCGATGGATTGCAAAACGTGCTCTTATGCGGTCCGTCCGCAACCATTCTGGAGCGGGATTGTGCAACGTGCGCGTAGACGAAGTCAACCGCAATCATTCTAGAGCGGAATTGCACACCGTGTGCATAAACGACGTCAAAAGCCATTCTGAAACGAGCGCCTCGGCTACACAGGTACCGAATATTCGACGTCTCAAATCTGACAAATGTGCCATTGTATTTGTTGATGTTGATGTGCGCAGGCGAAGGCAAATTGTGAAGTGAATATATTTATGGTCCTTAGTTCGCAAACTTGCTTCGCTACCTCTAAGCCACTCATTTCCTATACTTAGACAAACTATATCAGTCCCACTGATTTAGCTAGACCAATGAACACCCTTCGATCTTCTCAAGATCTTCTAGAAGGTTCACTGGTTTATCTAGACCAATCAACACCCTTCGATCTTCTCAAGATCTTCCAGAAGGTTTAAGAAGCTCTCCTTGTGACGTCACCCGATGACGTCATGCTGTGCTTCTTCTCAGCCAGTCCTTCTCGATTCTTCCAAACCTATCCATGAACATAAAAAGCAGTAGACGGTGCTATGTTAACACTCCCACTCACCGCTATTGCTAAATGCCCTTGGGTCCAATGCAGCTTGCTTGTATCAAATAGTTCAGTCGCTTGGTCCCCAGAGCCTTCGTTAGCATGTCGGCCAATTGGTCCATGGTGGAGATGTACTTGACCACGATGATATCGTGGGCCACATTCTCCCGGATGAAGTGGTGACGAATGTCAACGTGCTTGGTTCTGGCATTGTAGCCGGCATTGCTGGCAAGCCCAATTGCTCCTTGATTGTCTTCCCAGACCCACGTTGCTCCCACTTGCTCGTGACCTAGATCCTTAAGCAGCGCACGAACCCATAACACTTCCTGTGTACACAGGCTTAAAGCCATTTACTCTGCCTCAGCAGAGCTTAGAGCCACTGTGCGTTGATACTTGGACTTGTATATGGCTGGTGCGCCACCGATGATCACCGTTATCCCTGACACGGAGCGTCGATCATCGATGTTGCTACCCCAGTCCGCGTCCGTATACGCTGTAGCTGTTACTTCGCTAGCGCTGCCGTCGTAGATTATCCCGTAGTCTCTTGTCGTCTTGAGATACCGAAGAACACGAATGGCTGCCTTCCAATGTTGCTGACCTGGATTCTCCAAAAACCTTGATAACTGCGTGATGACATACATCACATCTGGGCGCGTACATGTCGTGATGTATAGCAAACATCCGATCAGCGACCTGTACGGCTTTGACTGCATTTCTGCTCTATCAACATCCGTCGTTGGGGATTGCTTCTTTGACAGCTTCAGGCCGGACTCGCATGGGTTGACCACTGCCTTTGCGTCCTCTTGATTAAAACGGCTGGCCACATCATCGATGTATCGAGTCTGTCGAATCATCAGCTTACTGCAGTTGTGGTCATGATCAATCTCCACGCCAAGAATAAATTTAGCCTTGCCTAGCTCCTTCATACGAAATGAGCTCTTGAGTGCTGTCTTGACCTCTTGAATCTCCCTGCTGGTCTTGGCGGCGATGATCATGTCGTCGACGTAGAGACAAACATAGACATAGTTGTCATCTTGACGCTTGACGTAGATACACTGATCTGCTCCGCTGCTACGAAATCCGATCTGTAAGAATACAGCATGGATTGTCTTGATCCACGCACTTGCAGCCTGCTTGAGACCGTAGATTGCCTTGTCCAACTTGCACATCATCTTCTCCGCATTAGCTATGCCATTTGGCACTTCCATGTACACCTCTTCCTTGAGATCACTGTTCAAGAACGCCGTGTCTACGTCCAGCTGCTCAGTGACGTATCCCTTTCTCACCACCACAGCTAGCACAACCCTGATCGAGTTCATGTTTGCCACGGGAGAGTACGTCTCGAAGAAGTCGACACCGAATTTCTGCTTGAACCCCTTTGCGACGAGTCGAGCTTTGTAGCGCACCACTTGTCTGTGTTCGTTTCGCTTCTTAGCGAATATCCATCTGCACCCGATTGGTCGAATGTCTTGCCGTTTTGGTACCAGTGTCCAGGACCCGTTATCGGCGTGCGCCTTGAGCTCCGCTTGCATCGCTTGAATCCACTTGCTGTTGTCTTCGCCTTTTAACGCGTGGCTGTATGTTGATGGAGCGTCGTCCGCCTCGCCAACGCTTGCAGCATAGGCTAATACAGCCTCTGCAATGAGACCTTCGTCATCAATTCTTGCACGCTTTGGAGAAGGTGGTCCATCGCTACCTTCTGACGTGTCTTCACTGCTATTCCCATTCTCAAGCAGCAGCATTCTGTCTCGTGAGCGTCTTGTCCGATTTATCTCCGGCTGAAATACCAACCTGTCCTCCTGAAAAGCTTGTCTCGGAGCTTGATATCCCGTTATCTCATCGCCTCTTGGTTCTTGAGTTTCTGGATCGAGTACTTGAGGTATGATGATACCTGTTTCGAATGGAGCCGATTCTATCTCGTCCATCTCGACATCAGGAGCGCTTTCTTCGACATCTTCCATCGTCTCGTCTCCATCATACGGACGAACCACCGGAATCACTGCTTCATCAGTGTCCCTAATATACTTGACGACTGGTACTTTATCTGGTATCACCGTGTCGTATATGCCTTCAACTTCCCGCTCGTCCAGCTTTACGGAGCGCGATATGACAACCTTCGACCTTTCCAGATTGAACACCCTGTATCCCTTGGTGTTCTCCGCATATCCGAGGAACATACACCGGTAACTCTTTGGTTCGAGCTTCGTCCTCTTGGCGTCGTCAATGTGAGCATACCCTTGCGATCCAAACACACGCAAATGCTCAATACTCGGCTTCATCTTGAAACCAACCTCGAACGGTGTTACGTCCGAATTTGCAGAGTTTGTGGATCTGTTGATCAAGTACACAGCCGTACTGACCGCCTCTGCCCACCACTGCATGTCGATACCCTTGTAGTACAGCATGCTCCTTGCCTTCTCCATGATAGTGCGATTCATGCGTTCCGCAACGCCGTTCTGTTGCGGACTATATGGTACTGTCCGCTGGTGCATGATACCATTACGGGCGCATATATGGGCAATCTTCTTGTTGACAAACTCCGTCCCGTTATCCGACCGTATACACTTCAAGTGCTTGCCCCATTGATTCTCATAGAAAGCCTTGAACTCGCTAAGCCTTGCGGCCACCTCGCTCTTGTGCTTCATGAAGTACACTGCCACAAATCTTGAGTAGTCGTCTACGAATGTCAATACGAATCGTGCACCACCCTTTGAGACCGTCTTCATCGGTCCCATCACGTCCGTGTGTACTAGTTCCAAGACACGTGACGTCCTTGTTAGCGATTGAGACGGGAATGTATCGATCGTCAGCTTGCCCTTCATGCATCCACTGCACAGCTTCTCGATGCCCTGCTTTACCGCCGGCATACCACTCGTAGCGCGCTGTGTCTTGTCCATACCAGATCTTCCGGGGTGTCCCAAGCGAGCGTGCCAAAGCTCCCACCCACTTTCAGCCCCTGCGTATTCTACAAGCCGGGCTTCTTCTTGTTCGCAATCCAGGAAGTACGCCTTGCCAATCTTCTTGCCGCTTGCAATCGCGCGCTTGGCACTCCAAATGATGCAGGACGAGCTTTTAAACTCTACCCTCATGCCTCGTCCTGCCAGTTTGCCAACGGACAGCAATCGTTTGTCAAGTCCTGGTATGTGCATGACATCGACCATCATGATCCGTCAACCGTCTAGACCTTTCAGCTTGACTGTTCCCACTCCAGCTACCTGCAGCTTCTTGCCATCAGCGATAGAGACTTGTTGACCAGTCTTCAACTCCTTGTACTCAAATAGATCGCTCCGATGTGGTGTCATGTGCGACGTAGCCCCGCTGTCGATAAGCCATTCTTCGCATTGCAACTCACCAGCAGCAAACACAGCACCTTCTTCCTCGCCATTGCTACGCTTCAGGCAGTCCCGCTTATAGTTTCCGACTTGACCACACTTAAAGCACTTGCCTTTAATTCCGGTGTTGGTTTTCCGTAGATAGTTTCCCTTGCGGCCGTTACCTTGGCCTCCCTTGAACCGTCTACCGTTGCTTCTTACAGGAAACGCCTTCTCCGTAGTCTCCTTCCTCTGCAATCTTTCATGCTCCTTGAGCAGATTTTCCTTGACCTCGATGAGCGTAATGTCCTTGGAATTCTCCACAATTGAGGAGATGAGCTCATAGTCCGTCGGAAGACTACTAAGCAGCACCACTAGCTGCCGAGAGTCATCGACTGGCTCTCCAAGTGTCTGGAGGCCGACAACAAGCTCGTCAAAAGCATCCAAGTGCTTCGACATGGTCGAACCATTCTCCATCTTGAACTCATGCAGACGACGTGTCATCTCGACACGATTGTGGAGCGTGGTGCGGTTGTAGAAGTCCCGCAAGATGACCCACGCGTGCATAGCTGTCGTCGCCGATCGTATCTTGGTCTGGTGCTGTAGCTCTATGCCTTGAGCGATGATACCCAGTGCCTTAGCGTCGTTGAACAGCCAGGCATCCGTCATCTCTTCTTCTTTCTTGATGAATTGAACGTGCACCAGCAGCCCCTTGCGCGCCAACGTCATGCGCATGTTATACTCCCAGTGGAAGTAGTTTCCACTACCCAGGAGGACTTCACACCGCTTGTTTGTCATGGTGGACGTGGTGGCTTGGCGGTTTGGAGCGAGTTGCGGCTGTTAACCTGTTGATGTTGATGTGCGCAGGCGAAGGCAAATTGTGAAGTGAATATATTTATGGTCCTTAGTTCGCAAACTTGCTTCGCTACCTCTAAGCCACTCATTTCCTATACTTAGACAAACTATATCAGTCCCACTGATTTAGCTAGACCGATGAACACCCTTCGATCTTCTCAAGATCTTCTAGAAGGTTCACTGGTTTATCTAGACCAATCAACACCCTTCGATCTTCTCAAGATCTTCCAGAAGGTTTAAGAAGCTCTCCTTGTGACGTCACCCGATGACGTCATGCTGTGCTTCTTCTCAGCCAGTCCTTCTCGATTCTTCCAAACCTATCCATGAACATAAAAAGCAGTAGACGGTGCTATGTTAACAGTATTCAGCCGCGGAATCAGGTACCGAATAGTCGACGTCTCGAATCCAGTCTAAATATACAGCAGTAAAAATTACTAAAATCGAGTCGTGAACTGGCCGAGCCACTACCTGAAACAGCAAGGGTGTACTCTTGCATGAAAACCCGCAACAACCCGGTCTTTTTCTGCTCTCCTCTCCATATATTCCTCAAAAACATCGCTTGAGTGCTTCCAACCAAGAATCCTGCGCAGCGCTAGAGATTCATGTCTGCCAGGTGGAGAGACAAACGAGCGGTCAAGTTGTGACAATAACGAGTATTTGAAGCTTTCACCCATCAACATCGGACCAACGTGGCCCTGAAGGTAATTTGAAGCGCCTCGAAACAGGTTTCCCGGTCAGTCTATATTCTCACTCGGAGCATAAACGTTGTCTACAAGGAGTATTTCGCCCATGATCCTGATGCGAACAGCCATCCAGTGGAATGTCCAGTGGTACTCTTTACACGAATCCATAGCAGTTTCAGAAGAGTATGGGTTCACTAAAATCGCCACTTTGCCGCGCGGATGTTCAGACTATTCCACTTTGTGCGGTCGGTCTAGCTCACAAATCATCAGGTATTTTTGTACAATTCATCCATGTATGCTAAGTTACCAACATCAACCCCAGTTTCTTGTAGAAATACGGGATCAATGGGTCCCTTACCCTCGCGTTGCCGAAAATGGCTGAACCAGTCTGCTCAGCGTTTCGTATGCTTGGGGAAAATTCCGCTAATTGTTTTGGGAGTGGAGTTGAATGCTGCTCACGAAAGATCACGAGTTCTTCAAAAGGAGGCGACGACGTCACCCTATGCTGACTCTGGACGAGATGTCCCCTCTACTAGCCGAGTTGCCCTCATTGCTAATGGTCCATCAATTGACTACCGTGGAAAATACAGTCGATCTTTGGCCGCCAGTTGGCAGGTTAGCAGAGAATGCTAAAAACTGCCTTGCATAAACTCTTTGAAGACGTGGTATATTCCCGCTTTGGACTGTGGCATCATCACCGTCATCTCACCCTCGACAGGCACAAATTAGGTACACACATAAAAGAAAAAATTGAGGACTCCCCATAGATCCAAGTCCGAATGCGGTTACACGACAGTCGCGAACAACAAATCCGCATGTGTTTTGCTGAATTTATTCCATCGCTGTATGTTGTTCGTCGTTTTCCATTGAACGTTACCAGACTGACTATCATCCAGTGCATCACGACTCATTCGTAATTTCGAAGCCTCTCAGAAGCATGTGCAATATGTTGGTGGATCACAGCCAGTTGATATTCGCTGTTGATGGAATGCCCATAGACACGAAGGGTTTATTTCACCATCGAGGAGAGGTAAGCCACTAGGTACAGCAGATCACGGCCAAGGGCCACCGATTCCAACGCACGAGAATGAATCCATGCAATTCGGCATTCTGTACCAATAGGAATTGTTTCAGGCACAGCGGTGGCAACTTTGCGCTGATTGACCCATTTACGAATTACCGCTGTGTTTACATAAAGTTGATTGTTGCTCTCCTGCACAGCTGCAGCCGCCACTACAGCCGACGCAGATTCTGGAATCTTGCACATCCGTATTGCACGTGAAGTCTGATCGTAATGATCTTAAGGGGGGTTGAGATTTATTGGTGATCAAATTGCCGGATGGGTTTATGGGTACTCGCGCGTGTCGATAGGGCGTGTCACCAGGCGATAATCACCCATTTCTAATTCAGCAGTGTCGCCTGAACATGCATTTGCTCGTCTTTAATTGCCTGAGCTAGCTCCGCTGGAAAAGGAGCACTGGTCGCGCAAGGTGGACGAGAAACAGCCCCTCTCCCAGATCATCCATGCGCATGGTATCTTCAAACGTGATGTTGCTGTCGGCCATAGTTACATCGAGATCATGGTAGTTCAGTGTTTTGCTGTCCGGAGAAATGTACGAGAATTCTTGACTCTGATGGTGCAATGGGGCAACCTTTGCTTGGATACCATGAAAATTCACGTACACTTGTACGTGCGGAGGAAGCTAATCTTGGTTGATCAGTCTTTTACCAACCAATCGTCGAGCAGTGGATGAATATTATCCAAAAGGGGATAATAGTACTTCAATATTATCCATCTCGGATGACATTGGTAGGATATTGTCATGCTTAGATAATATCCCTATTGACACCGTTTGGTGTCAATATCAAGTAACGGGCTATCCCATTACAGATTAAATATATGGGTAACTTAGAAATGATGCTCTATTTTGAAGCGAAAGCGGTTATCGAAGCACAATTAGAACTTCTCGAAAAACCGTTGGCAAACGTCCCTCGAATTAGTCCACTATCTTGTGCCATAAAGTCTTTTCTACACTATAGCAGTGCGGGTACTACAAAAACCAGTCGCAAAGTGGGATCTAAAGTCAACGACACAGAATTGATCACATCGAGACGGAAAATCACACAACAGAAGCTAATTCTACAAAGGCTACCTCACATATTCGTGACCGTATAATCCACAGGGACAAATAGCACCTGCAAGACCAATACTGCATTGCATTTTCTATATAAGAAGATGGCTGGTTGAGTTGGAAATCCTGACTCGGAAGAAATTGCGTATCACTGCACAAGTGATCATGTGATGTCCATACAAAATGTCACATAGTGCATTAGTTAATTAAACGTATCGATACATGCAGTCATCTGAGATAATGCAATGCGCCTTTGCGTCGCGACACAAACATCGACTGGAAAACCGCCCTCATCGATATGACGTTAACACTGTTGTGTTTTCTTTGTCTAGACGAATGACGACTGAAACTGTTGTGTGCATGTGCATGTGCTAGAGAGCCAGGTATAGCCGTTTACTGTAAGGCCTAATTTGCACCATATATGGTATGAAAATGAATTCGTGGGTGTGTCTCGGTGCCAACAATTCGAGTCTTTCTGTATGCAAGTTTGCGGCCCAGTCAATCGATTGTTAGAGCAATTTTAAAAGCTTGAAAAATCGAATGGGAATCAATTCAGTAAATACTCTAGCAATGGCAACACGCTCAGGCGTCCTAGTTCGAAGCGGATGTCAATGAACCATCATCACACTCTGATAATACGTTTCTTGCACAAGTCACTTCATCCGTAAGCTTTGTCGACCAGGCGTTGGGGAATAAGAAGCGTGCAAGGGATAAAGCCACCATCAGTTTCCGACTTATCTATCTGCCCACCCATTTCAATTTACAAGAAAGACCATCCCAAGACCTTAATGTCAGAACGGTCAGCTGTTGGCTTACAACAATGTCTAAGAGTGACTTTTAGTGCTTCTAGTCTACATTTTCGTATATTGTGACCTTTACAACGAACGATACACGTTGGTAATTTTTCGATAATGGATTGACAAGGCGCGGAATCGTAGTAAAACTCAGCAAGCTTAAATCAATTCGTGTGCCCCTTACTACAAAACCTGTGCTTTTTCACGTAGCATGTTCTTAGCGCTTAATTCTTGCTGTCAATAATCGAGTAAGTATCTGATTCTATAGCTAACACTGACTCGTAGTTTCTGACTTTCGGGTCGAGCTCAGAGACACGACCTGATCGCAGTGATAGCCAGAAACAACGCGACGAATGTGACTTTTCACAAACTGTAAGCAGTAAATGAGCAAGCCTCCGTATCCAGCATCATAGACCTTGCATGCAGTGACAACTAGAAACTAGGCGACGTATGTGGCTTCTTACATACTATAAACAACAAATGAACAAGTCTTATAGTCAGCATCTTGGACCTTGCACGCAGCGATCTACGTCATGTGAGAAACAAGCTTCGGTGCTCGGTACAATTTGATCGATTCGCTGGTGTACAGTTGAACACGGCTGACTGACACACATGATTCGTGGATGTCTAACGCGCAGATATGAGCACGGCATTACTGAATATTCGTATCGAACGATGCTGATAGGGTTCGCCGCATATTACCGAAAAGAAGTGTGCGCTTCGTCTTTAGGATGGGTGCGTCACTGGTATAGCTATCTTAATGCTTCACGGCATAGATCCATGATGACGTGCGGTTTAATCGAACATGAGTCGATATTTGTGGTGCATCCATGCACTGTTCATTTTAACGCTCGAAATATCTGCAGGTGCTGTCACAACGGCATCCTTTGTCTGCAACAAACTAATCGGGTAGCTTCGACACCACTACCCCCAGAAAAAAGGATGTGCGGTGCTCATTGTGCTAAGCTGCATTGTGCAGCCACACTGCAACCGGGGATACAGATAATTCTTGAGCGAATAAAGGAAACTGCAGCAGCTACTGAATGGTCTGTAATCCACATCAGCAACTTTATTCCGTACGAACGTATTCTAGAAAAGGGGTCGAGGTGTATTTTGGATACGTTACATAGCTACTGTCGACAAACCAGGAAAAGACCAGCTACTTCGCAAGACAGGAGAAGCTTGAACTTAAATGTGATAGACACGAACTTACAACCCGTCCCCAGCTTGAAGTGAAATGGACATGCGTCTACTATCCTGACAAAGAATTCCGACCCACTTTATTATGAAAGTGGGCAATATCGAGTTTCTTTGATCTGCACCTATGGACTGTA